ACAGCTTGTTGATCACCATTCCAAGTTGCAGGCATGTCCTGGTTTCGCCTGGGATAGAGTTAATTTTCTGCCTAGGAGCTGGAACAGTGCTATGTTTTGGACTTAGCACGAGAACAACATTGATAACACACTGATGTTTTACTTGCTGCCGTGTGGTGCTTATCCTGAGTCAAGGATTTTTCGGTTTCCCATGCTCTGCCAGGGAGAAGATGGACAAGAAGCTGGGATGGAGCACGGCCAGGACAGCTGACCTGAACTGGCCAAAGGGATATTCCATACCACAGAACGTTATGCTCAGCTCAGAAACTGGGGGAGGGGTGAGCGAGAGGCTGGGTGGCGCTTAGTTGCTGGCTGGGGTTAAACCACGGCAAGGCAAGAGACCAGCTCCTGACAGCTCTGCTCCGTGAGCGCAGCCAGCACACGTGTGTTCCCAGGGCGGGAAGCAACAACGCGCTGGGGACGTGTGTGGTTCTTCCTTTCTATGTTTTAGGAAGAACTCAAGAGCTACGGGGGTGTTTGCAATCAGAGAAAACAAGTCACCATAATTTCTGCTACGTAGGAGTCTTACCAAGTCTTACTTGTAAAGAAATCCCAACCCAGCATTTGGCCAAGGTCTGAGGAGGACGTGTTTCACTGGCTTATCTTCTTGCACACTCTGAGCAGTGGTCGTGGCATCCTTTCACACCCCTTTATTTATGATCACCAGGTAACACCTTCCTGGCTCCATGTGCTGCTGAAAGCCCCTGAACCCTTCCTGAAGGCATGCCATGAACCAGACTAATCTGCTCTCCCACCCACGCTCCTGCCTTATCGCTACCATTTTGCATAGGGAAGCAGCTCTCTGTTCCCAGGATTAACTTTGACTCCTGAAACTACAAAGATCAATCCCCTGACAATGGTTTTCCTACTTATACATATTTTATTGCATTAAGGGAAAGACATCCGGCTCTGCAGTGTCTGCAAGTCCAGCCCAGACAAGATTATCCACCACTTAACAGGAGATGCAAACAGCCAAGCACTACTGCTGTGCTTTGCACAGTGTTTCACCTCAGAAAGGGCTCTGCTTAGGAATAAAAGCTCTTTCCAGAAAGCCTGACAAAGCCCTGGTGTAGATAAAAGATTCAAAAAAAGTAAGGCTTACCAAGGGCGCCGTCACATCAAAGGCAGTGTGTGGACAGCTTCTCTACCTGGGAAACACCTATTTTTTTAGGACAAATGTTCCCAGAATTAATTATTGGGAGAACTCCTGTGGCCAAGCAATTAGCAATTTTACAAAGTCCCCTCCTAGTCTATTGAGGTCTCCAGAGGACATTGAGTGCCATCCTTCTGTCTGAGAGGGTGAAGACCTCTGCAGTGCTCCACATTGCAAGGGTGGTACCTGGCTCCTGGGATGGGATGAGACCCAGCTCACCTGCCCGGGGCCGTACCGGCGTGAGTTGACCTTTCCGAAGGTGGCACCGCGAGTTCCAGCCAGCTGTGCTGGGGACTTTCAGACACAGCGGGAGGCAATGCTGCGAATTAGGTACTCAGCCCCCGAGTCCCCACTGGGCAACAGTGGGTCTGAGCACTGGACGCGTTGGGGAGGGAGAATGAGGAGCTGCTGGTTGTGCCTCCACCAGCACCATGTGGCACCGCCCAACCAGGAGCCCCAAACCCCTTCATGTGTGTTGGGTCACCAAGAGCCACATCCCTGCCGTGGGGAGGGTGGGGATCGCTCCATGGTGATGCCTGCACCGTTGGCGGACATCTGTAACACCCCCCTGCTCAGGGCTTTCTTGATGGCCCCTTTGACCTTGCTGTTCCTCAAGCTGTAGACGATGGGGTTGAGCATGGGGGTCACAACAGCACACAGCAGGACGAGGACCTCATCCATCACCTTGGAACCACAGAGGTGAGGCAGCAGGTACACAATGGCCCCGGCACCCAAGAACAGGGGCATGACGGTCAGGTGGGAGGTGCAGGTGGCCAAGGCCTTCTGTGTGCCTGCTCTCTTCTGGAGGACAGCCCCGATGATGTGAACGTAGGACACAAGAGCAAGGAGGAAAGAGCCCATCACAATAGTCCCAGGCAAAGCATACAAGGCAGCCTTGCTGAGGGACGCATTAGGGCTGCAGGATGCCTTCAGCACGAAGGGTGCATTGCAGAACAAGTGGCTGATCATGTTAGACCTGCAGAAGGGCAAGCAGGCCATGAGGAAGGCCTGGGTCAGAGATGAGAAGGAGCTGCTCAGCCATGAAACAACCACTAAGCAGTGGCACACCTTGCTCATAAGCACTGGGTAGCGGAGGGGGTTGCAGATGGCCAGGTACTGATCATAGGTCATGGCAGCCAGGAGCACGCACTCAGAGCTCCCAAAGCAAAGGAAGAAGTAGATCTGTGTGATGCAGCCCCCAAAGGAGATGGTCTTCTGTGGTGAGAAGGAGTCTCCAAGTATCTTACGAAGGGTGACAGAGGAGTAACAGATGTCCAGGAAGGAGAGGTGGCCCAGGAAGAAACACATGGGGGAGTGCAGGTGGGCATCCAGCCAGACAAGGGTCACAATGAGCAGGTTCCCCAGCAGTGCCACCAGGTAAATGAGTGAGAAGCACAGGCAGAGGGTCACCTGTGTTCCGTAGGCACTGGAAAACTCCAAGAGAAGGAACATGGTGGGGCTGCTGACATTTCCCCGCTGCAGGGACTCAGGGCTCATCTACAGGGAGAGCAGGAGGAGATAAAGACAGCTAGAAGGAGGGTGAGAGCTCATCCCTGCTGTGGGGCAACACCAGCCCTCTGCTCTGCTGTGCAGCGGGCTGAAGCCATGCCACTGCCCCTGGCTGTCCTCACAGGCCACTGCAGGGGCTCAGGGGGCACCGGGGCAGGTGGTAGACCTCAGCCCATGGGACTCCAGTCCTCAAGGCAAACCCCAGCTCTGTGTCACCTGAAGGGCACCAGAGAGAGCTGGGACCTCACCGCTGCGGCCAGTAAGGATCCTAGGGACTGATAAATGAGAGTGGACGAGAACAGCTCCTCTCCCACTCCAGATTTTCTGGGCTGCAGCTGGAGTGTGGCCTAAAGAGCCCACAAAATGTGGCAGGTTGGACCCTGCCTGAGCAGTTGCTGCCTTTCATGGAAGCAAACTGTTTACACTGTTAGTGAAGATCTCCTGTTTCCCCTCTCCATCACAGATTGCAGGTGCGGATCTCAAAAAAAAAAAAAAAGAAAGAAATCTTTAAACGTTACAGACAAAGAAGGTGTCTGCTTGCATATACTGCACCGCAGATGTTAGCCTCATCGTCACACCTAGAAAACAATGCAAGGGAGGGACCTCTGGGAGTCTGAGAGACCACAGGAGGACCAGAAAGGCATCTGAAGGTGACTGTGTGTTTCAAACAGACTTGAGGGTGGCAAGGAACAGCAGAGACACTAGCCTGCAGGAAAAGAGAAAGACCAAATCTAATGAGAAACTGGAGCTCAGGGATGAACAAAGATGAGATACAGAAGATTTTGAGTATGAACTGAAAACTACTGAATCCACAGGAAGAGCAGTAAGGAGATGATTGGAGATTCACACAAGCCTGCAAGGAGCTGTTGGTACTGACAGGGCTGTCACCAGGTCCTTCCAGAGAGAAGGGGGAGCATCTGCCAGGAGCGAAGAGGAGGTGGATGCCAGGCTGAGAAGACTTGAGCACCCTCAAAGGACATTTCAGGCTCCCTCCGAGAGGGAACAAGGACACTCCCAGCATGCTGGCGATGTGTTCCACGACAAGATCTGTCCTGGTGCCCAGCAGTCGAAGTGTGTGTGTGAGCAGGGAGGAGGGAGGGAGGAGCAGCCATCCCAAAGTTGGGTGGCGCAGAAAGGGCTGGGGTGCTTGAGCAGCTGGGAGCCCTCATGGACGCCCTCTTCCTAGTGCAAGGAGGCACGCCAGCGGGAGAGAAGCCTTCAGGGACGTGATGTCAGGCTTTTAACCATGAAGGGAATGGAGGTCGAAGGAGAGGCATGCACTCTCTGTGCTGGTTTGGGATGGGCTGGAAGGGTAGGAGCTGGTAAACAAGGGCATAACTGCAGAGGGAAGGGAAGCGCCTGTAGGGGTAAGAGCAGCTGGGAGAGCAATATGGGCAGCAAAAAGCTGGTGACTTCTCCGTCTCAGGAAGAACAGATGGTCCATAGGAAATAACACATACAGTTGTGGCCTCATGCAAAGCTGGTGTGGAGGAACTCAGCTCACTACATGGAGTCACCCATGGCAGCAGATGTTCCCAGAGGTCAGAAATATAGCCAGTGCGACCAGAGCAGAGGCAACAGAGGTCACAGGAGGAGAAGGTAAGAACGGGAGGTGAGGAGAAAGGGTAGCACAGCACAAGATGTTGAAAGGCACCATCAAAAGATCTTCTTGGTTCTAAAATGCCTTGGGAAGAAGGGAAAGGAAGGTCTGCCCAGACAGCGCTGAGAGCCTCTCGCAGATCCCTCAGCCAGACTACGGTGAGGACAAAGCCCCAGGAGAGAAACTCTTCCAGGAAGGGTAACTCTTCGGAGTGGGGAGCATACAAATCACAGCTTTTTCTGTAATGGTCATTCCAGATATCCTTGGATATGACATCTCACATACCTCTTCATCAGGTCACAGCATGAAGCAAGCTGATGGGGTTTTTTTGTACCTGTTCCTGAAAAATAAGCTGTTTTTAGAAGAGCTACCGAGAAAATAACTTCAGCTAGAGTAGGCATGAGTCAATGCCATTTTGCGTAAATGGGAAGATCAATAGGAGCAGACTGGTGGCTGTGGCTGTGAACAAGCACAAATCAGGACAAGTGAGGAGAGCTGGTTACTGCAGCTGGGCAGATTTGGGAAGTCGAGCATGCAAACATAGGAAAGAGCTGGGATTTCATGAAAGCAAAGGTGCAAAACCCAGCTAAAAACTTCCTCTTGAGCACAAGGCAGAGGCTGGTGGAGCAGGGCTTCTCCCCTAGCAAACAAGCAACCTATACACACCGAGGAGGATGTTTGAAAAGAGTGGGAAGTCTGCAAGGAAAGAAAACGGTCTGAAAAGCAGTAAGCAAAGTCTGCACAGAAAGGTGAGGAATGCAGGGAGACCGTGAAAAGCGCTTGTAGTGTTATGAGATAATATACGCCATTCAGCTATGTAGCTGAAGGACAGGCAGCCCCGCAGTGCTGCTCGGTTCAGTGCCCTGGAAGTCAGACACCGCCCACTCCCAGCTTTCCAGGAGGACAACGACAATTTATGGCAAAGGTAGAGTGGCCAGTGACAACACGAGGGCATGGGGACAGCAGCATCAAGGAGCAGGGAGAGCCCTCAGAGGTTTGCTGCATGTCAGCAGGGCTGCAAGAGGGGAGCGTGGGCACACCTGAATTCAGCAAGAATTAATGCTGCTTCTGCAGTGAGGGTGCGAAGCATCTTAGTGACGGGGGCTGTGTCCACTGGGAGAAGAGAAATCCTGCACCAGGCATTGCAAGGCTTTAGGGGAAAGAAAAAGAAAGAAAACTAGGTGGGCACAGGAGCTCTGGGACTATGGAGCAGTCTGCCTGCCTACAGGGTCCTCAGCTGGAGACCCAGTGGTCCAGTCAGCCATGAGTGTGGCACAGGATGCCAAACTGGCCATGGGGTCAGTGGAAAGGTTTCCAGGCCACGTGGGAAAATGTTAATGCTGCGGTACGTCAGTGAGACCTTGCTGCGTGTTGTGCGGGGAGCACACTTGAGAGGGAAGCTGAGCCAGGCTGTCACGATGCCTGGAGAGGGGAGAGTCCATCGGAGAGGACACAGTGCGATGTGGTCAGCCTGGAAAAGCAAAGCCAAGCAGGGAGACAGCTGCAACATCGCAAAGCAGAGCCCTTCGCTCGAGCATGCTGCTGTGGGTAACGCTGGCATGGGCAAGCCTGCAAGATCCAGCAGCTTAAACCCAATTTCAAAAATTACTTTGACCCAGGAATCATCTCCTTAGATCTAATGCACTAGGGTTTGGACAAGGAGCCGAGGTCTCGCCCAGTGCCTTTTCAGGAGGTTTGGGGCCCAAAGGGATTCTGTGATTCTGTAAAGTGATGACATCATGGGGCAAAGGCAAGAGGAGTTTTGGTTTCTAAATCTGTTTGCCACCACTGAAAACTTTTTCCCTCTATCTAAGATAAAGATGTTCTAAGTACATGTAGGTGTCAACAGAGCCTTTGCATGGGTTTAATGAAGCAGAGGTGGAAAACGACGTGCCTGGTTAGCCTGGAAGACGGCACACAGACAAACCTGGTGCAAGACCCCTGGGCAGCACATCCGCCCCCAGCTCCCTCCCTGTGCCCTGTGGCCTCCCCAGAATTGGGGACATACCAACGATCTGGTGTCCCCAGGGCACCACCACAGTCTGGGCTACCAGAAAACCAGCTTGGCTTCTCTGGCACCAGTTGCCTCACTGGGAGGTGGAGGGTGCAGGAGGGATGAGGCATGGCAGACCATGAGTTTCCCCCAGCACTGCCCTCCAACCCATGGGCCAGCAAAGGAGGAGATGACAAAGGTGTTGTGCGACTGGGATGCAAGTGGCATCTTCATTTCATTTTCCGGTAACTGTAGGGGTTTGCAATTACATCTGCTGATCTGATAGTCATTAGCTAGATGATCAGCCAGTCATTGGAAGTGTCTGTTTGCATTTCTGCTAATTAAATTGCATTTGATTTGCAATCAAATCTAATATGAGACAAGTGAGCTTGAGGTAGACTCGGGAGCAGCTGACGGGTGCTGCTCTGTGGGAAGCACAGGCCAACCCCACGGTCTCACTGGGTTTGTAGAGCTGCGTCCCGGGAGCACTGACGGGAAAGGGGCTGTGGCACGGGTGACCAAGGGACACGTGGCAGCTGGGCAGCGCCGTGTTTGCAGTAGGGGCAGGGCTCCTGCCGTGCTGCGAGCAGGCGAGCTGCAGGGCTGCGGACTTTGAGACGTCTGCCTGGTGCCTGGGTACTCGTCTGGCTGCTGGGCAATGAGCAAGACAGCAAGAACACGCATGCCTGCTGGTCATGGGAGAGGGGCACAGAGCAGAGCAGGGCAGAGCCAGCCTGGCAGGACCCTGACATGGGGCTGACTTCTTCCATTCTCGATCCTAGACCTGTCCTACCCTCAAGCACTCACCCCACACAGATGCGGGACACCGCTGAGCCAGCACCCACACGGCTCACCTTGAGAAGATGCTTTCTCTCTTCACACCAGGTGTGTCTGGCAGCACCAGTGGTTTGGGACATGAGGGTGACTTCAATATATTCCTGGGAGACACTCAGGAAAAGATCCCTTCTTCCAGCACAGTCCATAATTGCCTCACACAGCCCCACGGGCACGGTGCTTTGGGATGCTGTGGGAGCAGGGACGTGCACCGCAAGGGACTATGATGTGCTGAGTCCTGTGTTCAGTGCCCGACTGTGGATGTCCCCCTGTGGGGTGCACCAGCAGCATCCCCATGGAGAGGGCCCCAGATCTCCAGGGGCCAGCACTGGGGGCAGGTCTGAAGTTTTCCTTGAACTTCTTAGAAGTTAGAGACCCTCTGAGGGGCGGTCCTGCAGTGGAGCTGGACTAGTGTGGTGGGCTCTGCAGCCAGAGTGTCTCAGGATCACCCTTAAGCAAGATCCTGATTCCAGGAATATGTCAGAGTTTGGCTCTTCAGCCTGTGCTTTCCTTTTC